AGAAGGGAAAGAGGGATTCTTTTTAAAAGAGAGAGAGAGAGAGAGAGAGAGAGAGAGAAAGGCAGAGTCTTGCTATATTGTCCAGGTTGGTCTCGAACTCGTAAACATAACCAATCCTCCTGTCTCAGTCTCCCAAGCAGGTGAGACTGCAAGTGTGTGCCACCACACCTGGCTAAAAGAAGGACTTTTTAAGCAACAGAACCAGGTACTGTACCAAAAACCTTGCACAAAACATATAAAATTGCCACTGAGTATTCTCATTTTCTACATGAAAAAACGGAGATTTCCTTACATATGAAGTTCAAGTGACCTGCCAGAGTTGCCTAGCTAATAAGAGAAGGCAATGTGTATACACGTTTTCCATTATAGAATCAACGAATGGCAGCCACTGACAATGGGAAAAAATATTCTCAAAAATTTTTTTAATGTGAACAAATGAATTAGAGCCATTTTTAAACAAAATTAAAATACGTAAGTGTTGAAATGAAGAGCTGAGGCAAAATTAAGGATGTCCAAAGTGTGTGAAATAGACAAACAACAGGAAGCTGGTCTTTAATAAGGCGAATATAGGACGGATATTTAAATGAGGTCAGTCTGACGGCCCCCAAACATGAATCTGTCACACACCAAGCTCTTCAACCAGTTTTCTTGATCAAAATCACCCATCAGGCAAGGAAAACAAAGAACAAAGGGAGAAGCAGACACCTAGCATGAGGGCAGTTTCCATTTCTTTTAATTGGTCCCACACACAGCTTAGCCAAACAAAACAAAGGCTCACATGTGAATTCAGAATCATAGGAGAACATGTAGGAATGTAGTTTATAGTTTATACGAGGCCACGATTTTACAAAGTAATAAAAACTGCACGTTGCTGTGAAATCTTTTCATGACCCCAAGGGATTAAAAGGAAATTCTGGCTGCTCTGTATAATCCAGATGATAAAACGTGAAAAAGAAACCTAGACTAAGGACTGGAAAATAGTCAATGTTTTATTTAAATAAAGACAATCGCAGGGAAATCCTAAATCTCAAACTAAAATTCACCTCTGCTTGGTTGATCAGAGCCTAAGATAAAATTTAAGTCAAGTAACCAACTAACCACCACAACACGTTAATAAGTCTGAAAATCTTTGAAAGATTTATTAGTATATGGATGAACCTGAATTATAAGATTTTTAAAATTAAAGACATTACAGTAAGCCTAGGCATGCCAAGCCCTGTGTTCTGATTGTATATAACAAAATCACACATTGTTACAAAAAGACACGAGACTCAGATCTATTTCAAATCTAAGTTTAAGCATTCATTACCATTATGATATACAGGAAGAAACTTAACTTCCTTTATTCTCAGGATATTAATTTTTAATGGTATAAAAATAATAATGTCCATTCTACTTATATTTACAGAATAAATTGAAAGCATAGAGTACTTAGCAAATTTTAAATTTACATTCAGCTAGATCCTTTAACCTTAAAAAAAAAAAATCTGCCAATAGTATGTTTTATAAAAAGATACAACTTCAGAAATGACAAAATGCCTGATTCTGACAACCGATAAGCTGGTCACTTATCAAGTAACTGTCCACTCTGCACAAAGGAGGGTCTTCTAGATCAAATATGTTAAATGTTTTGCTGAGAGAAATTTGCAGTCACATAACCTGAATACATTTTTCCCATTTAATTCCTTCCAGAAAGGCTACTGTTAAGTAATTTCTGACTACTGGCCTTTCTGGTATAATGGGGTTTTTATTAATATGTAGACAGTGCTCTTAGCTGTCTGGACCTATGAAGCCAATATGAAAATGCCTGTCTGAATACTAATGATACTTTTATATGTCATCCAAGCCATGTAACAAATTACCTCCTTAAGTATACGTGTATCCTTTCTAAAGCACATTCATTCCAGTCAGTTCGCCTTTTCTGAATTCCTTGTTTTATCTTATCTACCCAACTTCATTCGCTTCTCTCCAGGTCATCATCAATAGATGCTTTCTTCTACTCTGTAAGCCTAGGTACAGCTTGCCTTCCCTCAGCCCCACCTCTTAGAGTGTTTTAGCACGTGATCTCTGGAATGCCTATGTTTCACGTAAGACTAAACTAGATAATCCCTATACAATCTCATGGCTCACTGGGTATAGAAACAATACCCTATACCTCTTGGATTTCTGCACACTCCTAGGATTCAGGCATTCATGGGTAATTAAATATTACTGGTCTCATTTGACAGCCACATAGAAATAAATGAGACATTACCCTGCACGTGCTAATTTGTCTGATGAAATCTGAACACCAAAATCTATTCAATCCAGTATCTAAGAGTCTTTTTTTTCTTGTTCGACTTCTTTAGAAGAATCATTCTTATCTTTTCAATTCATTCACTGTATCTCCACCTCCCACACACGTACGTTATTAAACACGGTTTGTTTTCATTTTTAAAGGAGGAGGGTGGGATTAAGGAATCCAAGAAATAGATCTGTGTTCTCACCGAGCTTCCTACTAGTTGCATGACTTTAAGTAAAGCATAACACTTCTTTTTTTTTTTTTTTTTTTTTTGAGACAGAGTCTCACTGTGCTTCGGGGGCTAGCGTGCCATGGCGTCAGCCTAGGTCACAGCAACCTCAAACTCCTGAGCTCAAGCAATCCTCCTGCCTCAGCCTCCCGAGTAGCTGGGACTATAGGCATGCGCCACCATGCCCGGCTAATTAAATATATATACTTTTTTTGCCTTTTTTTTTTTTAGTTGGCCAATTCATTTTTTTTTCTATTTTTAGTAGAGACGGGGTCTTGCTCTTGCTCAGGCTGGTTTCGAACTCCTGACCTTGAGCGATCCACCTGCCTCGGCCTCCCAGAGTGCTAGGATTACAGGCGTGAGCCACCACACCCGGCCAACATAACACTTTTTTCACCCTCAATTTCCTAATCTGCAAAATTATATAGTCATCATGTGCTAACTGGTCAACTATCCTCACTACCATGTTTCCCCCAAAATAAGACAGGGTCTTATATTTATTTTTCCTCAAAAGACACCCTAGGGCTTATTTTCAGGGGATGTGTTATTTTTTTAAAGTTTGGTACAACGATCTACATTTATTCAAATATAGTTAAATCATCTTCTTCTGGAACATCATCATAACTCTCCAAACCCCGAATTCCATCCTGAATTTCTTGCGACTCTATTTCCTTTAGAACCACTGGTCCCAATCTCTCATGTTGAGCAATAGAGCTCTCATGGGGCAGATGAGAAGGGCTGCTCCTTTTCTTTCCCACTCCGCCACAAAACACATGGGTTGTGCAGATAAGCTGCATAGCCACACCCATCACTAGGGCTTATTTTCGGGGTAGGGCTTCTATTGCGCAAATGCTTAGAAATCCTGCTAGGGCTTATTTTGTAGGTAGGTCTTATTTTCGGGGAAACACGGTATGTATTGGAATGCTGTTAAAAAAAAAAAACTAAGTAAGAATATGCATAAAAATGTCATGTCTCTTTACAGTATTGTATTTTGTATCTTTGACATACCGCCTACCGCCTCTTATAGGAAGTGATATCACCTTTTGTTTAATGCTTTATTGTACTTACAAATCAATAGATCTTGCTGACACAATCAATAACAAGAGTAAACAGTATAGTTACTAAAACTATGGAAATTAGAAAAAGTCTCTAATTATGGTTTAGGGCAATTAAACACTTTAATAAGATTAAATTCTTATTATAATAATTTTGATCTCAACTTGCTCATGAATGCGTGAAAATGTTTTGGTAAATGTCCTGTAAAATCAAAATACATTTGATATTTCTGTTGCTTCTGTTATAACACTTGAGGTTTTACTGGAACTCTCTGAGGTAATGAGGTAAAAAAAAATGGCATCTTTGAGCTTGGAACCACTATTATTCATGCCACACTGATTAAAGGATTATTCAGAAGCAAAAATCCAACACACTTACATCTTCTCTAATTTCAAAATGTAGTTTGATATTAGAAGAAACAATTCTTAAGTAAGGAAAAAAATAAAAATGAAAAGTATAGGGATAGGCTGGGTGTGGGGACTCACACCTGTAATCCTAGCACTCTGTAATCCTAGCACTCTGAGAGGCCAAGGTGGGAGGATCGCTTGAACTTAGGTGTTCGAGACTAGCCTGAGCAACAGCGAGACCCTGTCTCTACTAAAAAATTAGCCAGGTAAGGTGGTGTGCACCTGTAGTCCCAGCTACCTGGGAGGCTGAGGCAGGAGGACTGCTTGAGCCCAGGAGTTTGAGGTTGCTGTGAGCTAGGCTGACACCATGTCACTCTAGCCCGAGCAACAGAGCAAGACTCTGCCTCAGAAAAAAAAAAAGAAATGAAAAAGTGTAAGGATAATATGGAGCATCATTTTAGAGTAGATAACAAATCTACTAAGATGTTACAAGAACCACATGAAGTCCTTCCAAATATGGACTCCTCAAGGAAGGTAGGAAAATGTATGATTCTTGCTAGCCTAGATTACCTAATTTGTTCATCTGCTATGGTGGTGATGTAGTTGAACAGAATTATTGGTTAAAAATTCTTATTAGATGTAATTGTAGATTAACCCTTCATTTGAAAATAGTCCAAACTCAACTGATTACATTCCAACTCTTTCCACAACTGTAAGTATTTACTAACCTTTATAATGAAGTCGGGATTTTGGTTATAAAAGGCATTGGTACTCTAAACAGCATTTGCCTTATTTTAAAGAAACTAAATTTTAAGATCTATTACTAATGCTACCTTCCTTCTTCCCTTCCATCTCCCCTCACTTCTACAATTCTCCTTTCTTCATCTAAAAGTTGTGATAATCAGAAACTGTGAATTCTTTCCTATGTGATAACACAATTTCTGCTCATTATATAATGAAAAATCTTCTCATTTATTGTATATCATGTTTTGATAGTAAATTCATTTATTAGGGTCTAAATAATTTTTACATTTTATACCATGTTACTGCTAGGGGCAGCCTCTGCTATTATATACATTATACTTACCCAGGCTTTTTTTGTATCTTGATGTTTTGCGGCTTGTTTTTTCGGTTTAACTCATTCCCATTCTTGAACCATTTGAATTTGAGAGAGGAGTATTCAGAACTGGTTTCACACCGAAGGACTAGTTTGGAGCCTGCAGCAGACTCCTGACTTTTCATCTCTTTCAATCGGGGAGGCAAAGCTAAAAAAAAGAAAAGAGAAGGAAAAAATAGTTCTGATTACCAGGCAATCTTTCAAAGAGAAAGATAATAATGTTGGGTTAAGCCTGATCAAGGTACCATTCCCAAAGTTTTTCATAACCCAGAGAAAAAATAATCCAAACTGGGTGATTCAAAATATATCTCAACTTGGAGAAAAATAAAATGTTCAATTAAAATATACTAAAAAAAACAAAAAAAATCAATCTAGATTACAAAATTATTCCTAAAAAAAATTTCTAGATTGTTACTTTCTTCCTCTTTATGTGTCTGATGCCATTAAGAATCCTCAACATTGGTGATTTCAAAGAACCACAAGCTTGTGCTAAAGAAGAATATTTAACCAGGCCATTAGTTTTAAGGCACAGTCACATCCCGAATCACAGTCTATCACAGTTCTGTGAATAGTACAGGAAGCATCACGCCAATTTTTAAAATCAGGAAGTTTAATTTCAGAGATTAAGTAAGTGACTGACTTATCCACGGTTACAAAAGGTGCAGAGAGTTGAATTTAGGGCTCATTTCACTATCCTGTCTTCAGAGGGGATCCAAATAACAAAGAAAACTCATAAATCTTAACAATGGCTCCTTTCTTCAACACAGAAATTCTCTGGTGATATCACCCTTTTGTTGGAACTACACAGTTGGTGCCCTGTCCACAATGGCCATTCCAGATGACCACGACACACACTCCCATCAAATTATCAGTTTGACTGGATTTAGCACTGCTAAATCTTCTCAACAGAGACTAGAGTACTTACATTGTGCACTGACTTGTAGAATACATTAAACACCTACCTACCGTTCTCCTATAAGCAAGACTGTTTAAAAAATATCTATTATCTACTGAAATATTTATGGAAAAATAATCTTATAATATCTGAAGTTTGCTTCAAAATAATGGCGAGGAATGGATAGACACAAAGATGAAAAAAAATTACCAAGAAGCTGATCACTGTGGATGGTGGGCAACAGGTACATGTGGTGGTTTGTTATGCAATGCTATATAGTGTACCTGAGTTTCTCATAATAAAAAAAGTTTTTTAAAAAATAAAAGCAGAGACGAATGGATTTTTCTCTGCACACACAATTTCACTTAATAATCAACAGCACAGCACCTGTGATCTCAACAACTCCCAGTTTCCAGTGAGCCTTCAAAAAAGCCAACTACAAAGTCTACTTCTGCCCTGGTTCAGGGATTAACAGGAAATCCCAAAAAGTAAACCTGGGAAAATGAGACTGTCCCTCACTGATTCAGTGTGTAATTACTCACTGAGTAAGAAGACCAACCAAGACTCCAGTGACAGCAGTTGGGCCCACCTAACACATGAACAGGAATTGGGGTTCCTTTCCTACTCAGGGTACTGCATCTGTTTTGCTACAACTCTGCCTTTACCAAGTAAATCCAAAAAATGCCAGAATGAACATATGAAGCTTCCAATTCATTACAGCAAAAACCATTTGAACGTTGTAACTTCTTAGCAGTTCTCCTACAATTACATACCCTGCATTTTATTTATTCGGCGCCTAGGAGATAAGATTGGAGACGCAGGCACTAAACATGGAGACGCACCACCAAATAAGAAAACTTATTTCAGCTGCTCTTAGCCTTTGATAAACCTGATGATTACATCTGGTTCTTTTTTTTTTTTTTTTTTTAGACAGTTTAAAAATAAGGTCTACTTTCTGAACAGCCTTCATAGATATCTTCTTTTTAAGACATAGTTCATGAATCTCTGTTTTAGAGGTTTTTAAAAAACAGATTCAATTCTCATCTATCTGGCATGGTGTCTATATATTTCCATTAACTCCTTAAAGCTCATTTGTAATTTTGTTGAGTCTGGTGAAGGATTTTAAAGAAACAAATCTGCTGGAACTAAATGGCACCAAAGAAACTGGTTTACAGATATTACAAAAAATAAACTGCCTCATTAGTTTATGCATACACTAAAAGAACTAGTTTCAATGTTTCCCCCCAGTGGGTCTTACCTTTAACTTGGCACATAACAAAAACTCTCAAGGCTTGTTCCCTTGCGTCTAGACCAGGGGTCCTCAAACTTTTTAAACAGGGGGCCAGTTCACTCTCCCTCAGACCATTGGAGGGCCGGACTATAGTTTAAAAAAAAAACTATGAACAAATTCCTATGCACACTGCACATATTTTGAAGTAAAAAAACAAACGGGCAAAAACACTCGCATGGGGGGGAAGGGCATTTATTGAAACCTTAAAATCTGTACCCCCATAGTATGCCGAAATAAAAAAAAAACAACCCAACAACAACAACAACACTCCCATGTGGCCCACGGGCCATAGTTTGAGGACGCCTTAAACACAATGCCCCAAATACTGTACAGCTGACACTTGAACAACACAGGTTTGAAGTGCACTGATCTATTTACATGCAGATTTTCTTCCAGCTCTCCCACCCAGGAGACAGCAAGACCTACCCTTCCTCTTCCTCACCTACTCAACGTGAAGATGGTGAGGATGAAGGCTTTTATGATGATCTGCTTCCACTTACTGAAGAGCAAATATATTTTCTCTTCCTTATGCGTTTCTTAGTAACATTTTCCTTAGCTTGCTTTATTATAAGAATTCAGTATATAATACATAATACATACAGAATGTGTTGATCAGCTGTTTATGTTATCTGTGAGATTTTGACCAGTCAACAGTAAGCTATTAGTATTACAGTTAAGTTTTTGGAAAGTTAAATCTTGTACATGAGTTTTCAGCTGTGTAGGGGTTTTGGCACCCCTAATCCCTGCACTGTCCCAGGGTCAACTGTATTCCAGACACCCGTAACTCTCAATAAACACCATGTTCCCTCACTGACCATTTCATACGTTTGCTCATCAGTGCAGTCTGAACATAAATCCACTGGACTGTTTTCTTCACTTTGGATAAACATTTCATCATGAAATCAGTTTGCATCTCTTTTTCACTCCTTTTTTCTCATTCCCTCTTTTCTTCTATCTCACACACACACCCCTGTCCCTCCTCTTCTCTCTTCATTTATTTCTTATTAAGAATCTTGATTTCAAACATGAAACAATCAGATGAATTCAAATTGAGTGACAGTCTACAAAACAACAGGTCTAGCCTTTAAAAATGTAAAATATCATGAATGATACAGGAAGAAGAGCATGAATGTGCTCTAGATCAAAGAAGGTCAAAGACACATGGCAACTAAGTGCAGTGACTAAAAGGTCAAAGACACATGGCAACTAAGTGCTACTGACTGGGACGATCGCTGTCAAGGACATTACTGGGGCTACTGGGGAAATGTGAATAAAAATATTATATCAAAATTAAATTTCTCAAGTGTGATCACTGCATTGTGGTGATGCAGAAAAGTCTCCTTGTTCTTAGGAGGGATCTGCTGAAGTACTTAGGAGTGATATGTCATGATGTCTTCAACTAAACCTCAGATGATTTAGCAAATACGAAATACATTCATACATGCACATACAAACACATGCAAAAACACACACACACAAAGCAGGCCTGGTTTCTCTTTGATTTTTTGTCTGGTCTTTCTGCCCTTAAATAAAAGACCCAGGTTTCATTAAATACTTTTAAAGTCTTGGTTAAGTTGGCAGTCATGAAGGAAATTCTTGCAAATATTTGGGTTAGTAATTTACAACTTAAAATCATTTAATAATTTAAGCCATTTAAATTCTGTGAGTGACACTGCACTGAAATCCTAATATGGTTCAACCTCACAGCTGTGACTTTAGGGATCCAGTCCCAGTAGGTCTTTTGATGGAAGGAAACCAATCCCTCTTTGGGCAGGTCAACATCTACCTTTTCCCTTGAGGGTTCATATGCTGAGACCAATACATCCTTTGGCTTAAGAGATGATCTATGTACTCACTAAAATATCCACTCCTTAAGCTGACCCTGATGTATGAACATTACTTAAAGTTTGGGGTTCAGGTACACCTCTACTGACTAGCCTCAGTTTCTCTCTCTTGCACATAGTTTTTCAACCCTATCAGAAGTGCCACTCTGACTTTGCATCTGTTGAAGTCCACTTGTAATAATGTCCCTGCTGTGTCATTCAGGGGTAACTTCTATACCATGAGAATAGCTCTTTTAAGGAGTTAACTCAAAAATCCACCAAAGCATAAATGGAGAAACAAACCTGTGCACCACTAACAGAGCCACACAACTCGATCTTTGATCTGTGAGTGTTCTGCTGTCAGGACAAAGATCCTCACTCACTCTTGGAAGAACCCAAATTAAAGTGTCCAGTAGACTTGGCAATAACATAAATAAATCCTTTGTCTTCTTGGATATATGCACTAATGGAACGTCCCTGGATATTTCACAGATTCTTCCTAAAAAACCAAACTAATATGTAAACTTGCGTGGTTGGTATGATTTTTCTCATCTGTCCATATGAGATCATTTTCAATAGAGTAAATTTTCTTCTGTCCGAGATTATAAAAATAGCTATATATTAATGAAATACATTTCAAACATGTACATGTTTCTGAGACATATAGTTTACTCATATGAAATAACCTCATTTATTTTATTAAAAAAACTACACCAAATACTTTCTAATACCTAGCTGTTATTAATACTTTATAAGGTCTAGGATAGTATCTAAATTTGCGGTCCATTTTTTTTTAAATGAGTACTTGACTTTAAAATCTGCAAAAATTTTTTTACTTGCTTTTCGATTCTTATCAAAGAGTAAATGGTCTGTTAATTAAAAATTGGTTGAAGGCAAGGCCAGTGCTACGTTAATGCTTCAAGTGTAGGAGGTGTTCTGAGAATCCTAAGCATGATTTAATTGTATTTGGTCTGCCGCAGTTCATAATTTTGCTTTCAGTGTGTTTCTAGAAGCGGTAGCTCCACACCCTGAAACAATTTAATGACAGAGCAAGTTTTAAGCAGTCTCTGTCTAAATCTATTTCAAACTTGCTTGACATTAATATGAACATATCCACACCCTTAGAAATGCATCAACAG